TACACATTCTGAATAAGTGATGTTTATAACCTAATTAACCTGGTCCTTGATGATACGTGAACTTTCTAAACTTTGTATTGATGGTTAAGCTGAGTTCTTACAGGATCCAAGTAAGTAAAAAACACAGAGTTTGTCATCATCAAAAAGGGGGAATTTGTTGGCCCAAGAACAGGTGAAGTTTTGAAGATTGACAAAAGAACTCAGTCATGGACCAGGTCCATCTTGTGAAGCACAGTCATGATCAACCTATACATGTGAGATGCACGTGAAGGAGATAAATCTAATTGATCAAGAAGCAATATCTCCTGATCTGATCGAAAATGTTGCATATTGGATAAGGAGAGAAAGACTCCTTACATGAAGAGAACACAATTTAGGAAGAAGATAGTGTTAGAGTTTGAGATCACTATGAACTCTTCTACGATAGAAGAGTAGTAATTGAATTCCAGTCAAACTCTGATTACTAACCCATTAAATGTCAGTATTGTTCTCTTTTACAGGTAATGCACATAAGGAGAAGTTTTAAATTGAGAGCAAAAGAGAAAGGCGATTTTGCAAGCAATTTATGTGTGATTCGAGTGCGCAATCCTGAAGCTACTTGAACGAGATAGAAGAACCAGTTCCATGTGTCTATCTTTTATTCTAGTTCAATTGTAGTAGCTGATTTTATATTGTACCTTTCATCTTTCATATAAGCAATTGTATTAGGTACTTAGAGTTTCAAGTTAGTGTTAACTTGAAGTTGTTGCAACAGTTGAGGCTGTGTGCTACAACGGGATTAGAGTTAATCCTTAGGTTTACAAAGAGTTTTGTAAATGCTGTTTTGGCTCAGTAATTTTAGTGGAAGTTTGGGAAAATCCTACTGAGTAGTAGGTCGTGAGTTTTCACCTTTTGAGCCAGGTATTTTTCACGTAAAATCTCTGTGTTATTTATTTTCTCTACTTATTATTCCGCAAATAGTAGTAGTTGGAACTCATAGAAGAACCAGGTCCTTCTATATTTTAATTAAGCGAAAATTGGGTACCACACAAATCACCCCCCCTCTTATATGGTATTGAAGTATAAAACATCACACGGTGTGCCTGTTTCCATCATATCAGATAGAGGCCCTCAGTTCACTTCCCATTTCTGGAGAGCCGTACAGAGTGATTTGGGGACCCGTGTAGAGCTCAGCACAACATTACCCGCAGACCGATGGGCAGTCAGAGCGAACAATTCAGATTCTGGAGGACATGCTTAGAGAATGTGTGATTGACTTTGGAGGGCAGTGGGACCAGTTCTTGCCTTTAGTCGAGTTTGCTTACCGCAACAGTTATCAATCCAGCATCAAGATGGCTCCATTTGAGGTTTTATACGGTCAACGATGTCGTTCTCCTATCGGGTGGAATGAGCCTGGTGAGGCTAAGTTGTATGGTACAGATTTGGTGAAAGATGCCTTAGAGAAAGTAAAGTTGATTCAGGAAAGACTTCGCACAGCTCAGTCCAGACAGAAGAGTTATGCAGATCAGAAGACATGGGATGTATCATTCATGGTCGGCGAGAAGGTTCTCTTGAAAGTCTCGCCGATGAAGGGTATTATGAGATTCAGAAAGAAGGGCAAGTTGAGCCCAAGGTTTATACGCCCATTCGAGGTGCTGAGGCGAGTTAGGGAGGTTGCTTATGAGCTTGCGTTGTTTTTCATGTACCTATGCTTCAGAGGTATCACGCCGAATTGTCCTATGTGTTAGACTTCAGTACTATTCAGTTGGATGAGAGTTTGGGTTATGAGGAGGAACCAGTTGCCATTGTTGATAAACAAGATTGCTAGTTGAGATCCAAGAGGATTTCTGCGGTAAAGGTCCAGTGGAGGGGCCAACCAGTCGAGGAAGCGACCTGGTAGTCCGAGGAGGTCATGCGAAGCAGATATCCCCATTTTTTCCTAGCTCAGGTACTTTTCTATGTCTGTTCGAGGACGAACGGTTGTTTTAGAGGTGGAGAATGTGATGACCCAAAGGGTGATCTCGCATTTTAGAACCCAATTCGGGGTTCCGAGGCCTTCAAAACCTCATCCTACTTCTCCTCGATTTGTGTGCACAGTCCGGGCGCGTTTCCTAAAAGCCTTTGTGCGAAAAATTTGAGAAAATTATAATATTTACCTTAAAAGTGATTTTAGTTGACTTCGATCAACATATTTAGTGAAGGGATCCGGACTCGTGTTAAAATATAGGACTTGGGCTTATGCCCGGAATCGAATTCCGAGGTCCCTAACCCGAGTAATGAATTTTTGTTAAAAATTGTTAAATTGAAAATTTAAGGATTTAAAGAAATTGAATAATGTTTGATCATGTTGGTATCGGGCCCGTATGTTAGTTCCGGAGCCCGGTACAGGTCCAATATAACATTTAAGTCATGTCTGTGAAATTTGGTGAGAAACGGAACTGATTTGATGTGACTCGGACGTCCGGTTGAAAAAATAGGAATTTCAAATATTCTTAAGGAGTTCATGTGTTTTGGTGTTAAATCCGTAGTTTTAGATGGTATTTCGGCGATTTGATCGCACGAGCAAGTTTGTCTGATGTTGTTAGACTTATGTGAGTATTCGGTGTGGAGCCTCGATGGCTCGGGTGAGTTTCGGACGTGTGTTGAGAGTGAAAACACTCCAGTTTTCTGGTATTTCTGGGCAAGTGTTGCTATTTAATTTTCGTACACTATAATTACGAGATAACTTGATAAATTTGGCAGGAAAATATTTGGGGCAGAATTAGTCGCTACTCATATTTTCGTAGAGATCGTACGTTTGAGAAATCCATAACCCGCTTATTTTTCAAATACATTTTCATCGTCTTTGGTACAGAGTGAAGATAGCTATATCCTACTGTATTTTAAAAAAAAAAAAAAAGATAGCTATATAAATAATGATTTATTTTAATTATATAAGTACTGACTTAACTTAATCAAAATTTATAAGATAGAGATTTTTTATGCATTAACTTTTCTAATTTGTTGTACTAACATGTACTTGACCTATTTTTCATGATATTAGTTTCACCTTTTACGATTAAGCTAATCTGTAGTAAGTGACCGACAATGTGACACCATACGTTTCGCTCAAAAATCTTCTATATTTATCTATATTTATATATTATTAAAAGGAGAGAAAAAAATTTTCTCCTTAAGTTAAGTGACAGGCTAGAAAAAAGTCACATGACATAAATAGTTAATAATTAGTTATTTAATTAATAGTTTTGCTGTAATTTTCATGCTTTGCTAATAACATATGATAATTACAAAAAAATTTAGTTGTTATTTTTGAATTTAAATATCTATAAAATATTTATCTATCTATATATTACTAAAAGGAGAGGAAAGAGCCCTCTCCTTAAGCCAAGTGGCACCTAAGAAAAAGGTCATATGCCATAAGTAGTTAATAAAATTATTTAGTTAATAATTAGTTGTTGATTTGTAATTTAAATTTCTATAAAATAAAAAACGATGTTTTTTTAAAAAAAAAATGTCCATTTAAATTGGAGAGTAGCAAGTTGGAGTTTTTAAATTATTTTAAATAAAAATATGAAATTACAAAAAAAAAAATCCAATTCTTTATTTTTTTAATAATTGTTTTTCTTTTAAAAATTAAAGTTTATTTATTAAGAAAATGTTACTCCCTCCTTTCCAATTTATGTGAACCTGTTTGATTGGATACCGAGTCTAAGAAAAAATGAAGACTTTTGCAATTTGTGGTCCTAAACAAGTCAAAAGGGGCCCAGAGTATTTTTGTGGTTATAAAAGTTTCTCATTAAGGATAGAATTGTAAGTTTAATCTAAATTGTTTCCAAATTTAGAAAGGAGTGATTCTTTTTGGAACGGACCAAAAAAAAAATAGATTCACATTAACTGGAACAGAAGGAGTATTGAATAATAGAAGAAAATATAAATAAACATATATATCTTCTATTATATTATAAAAGGAAAGCAGCATACAAAAATTTAAATAAAGTAATATGTTAAGAAAAATTTATGCCAAAATGCAATAATACTAAATATTGGATAATATAATAAAGAAAAAGACCGAACAAGCTTATTATTCAATGCCTATATATGTTTCATTAATTTAGTAGATATTTATTCATTAAAATTCAGATAATATTGTTGAGAACAATAGGATAAAAGAATTTTAAAAAAAATTCAAGATTAGTAAAATATACATCTTCTATTATATTATAATATAAAAAATAATAGATAAAAATATTAAACAAAGTAATATGCTAATAAAAGTTTCTATTAACAATGTAATAATATTAAATATTGGATAATTATATAAAGAAAAATACCGAACAAACCTATTATTCGATGCTTATATAAGTCTCATTAATCTAATAGAGATTTTATTAATTAAAATTCAGCGATATTATTGACAAAAATAGGATAAAATTTAAAATAAGAAAAGGGAGAAAAATCATTTTCCTTAAGCCAGCGGCCGCCTAGAAAAAAGACATATGGCATAAGTAGTTAATAGTTAGTTATTGATTATTATTTTTTAATTTAAATATTTATAAAATAATTAAATAAAATATTTAATAATAAAAAACAAAAATTTAAAAGACTATCCGTTCATATTGAAAAGTAATTTCAAGTTGAAGCTTTTAAATTATTTTAATAAAAATTAATATAAATCGAAAATAATTGAATGAAACTTTAAAAAAATCGCACGAACCGTAAATATTTTGATTTGATTTGATTATTAATATTACAAAACTAAAAAATCGATAAACCAAATCGTATTTTTATAATAAACAACCAAACCAACCGATGTCCGCCTCTACCCATCAGCTTGTTCTAATCTTCGTCGGCGTGTTACTTTTTTTTTCTTTTTCGATGTCGGTTACAATGTTAAAGTTACAAGAAGTACTGACCACAGCATCCTATACGTGGCGTTTACAACCAAACGTGTCATACTCTTACAACGACACCAAATTCCTCATCTCTTGCAACTTCCCACTATAACATCAAACCCATTGCCGACTCAAAAGTAGTAAACCCTCTTCAACTTCTGCAAACTGTAACAGTACAGAAACTGCAACAATTTACACAAAAGCTACTTATTTTTCTTCAACAATGGCAGCCGTGTCAATCACTAAAAACGCCATTTTTAACCTCTCTAAGGCTCTTCCTCGAACTCCTCCTCTCTTCCTTCGCCGCAATGTCTCCTTCTACAACCTCTCAAAGACTCTTCCTCAAAACCGTTCTCTTTTCATTCGCCACAAAGTCTCCCGTGTCTGCTTTTCCTCTTCCCCGAATTACTCCGAGGTACTATATTTGTCTTGCTTTTTCTTTTTGGATGTCATTTATGTACAGTACTGGAGAGTGTAAAGGAAAAAATTCAAATAAACAAATGCGCATTTCCTAATTAATTTAAAACGTAAAATAAAACTAGATAGATTCACTTCATATCGCACAATGAATTATATTCGTTATATAATCAATTACTAGTATATTTTAATATGTTGCAGCAGGTTCTCTATCTTAATTTTTTTATAGGCTACGTATTAATTTTACTTATTTTGTGTTGTTCCTTTTAGTTACTCCTTTATGTGATGTGATGTTTGAGAGTCAAATTTTTTAATTTCAATATATTCGGATACAGAATCTTTGGATTTTTTGAAATAAAATTTATATATTTGAGAACTAATTATAGAGAGTGTTAAGTCACAATAATTAACAATTCAAAATATCTAAAAATTCAAAATATCTAAAAAAGTACACATGCATTGGGACGGAGGGAGTACGTATTATTAGGCAATCCGAAAGTGTAAAGAAAAACTTTCAGCTGTCTATAGTGTATAGAATTTATAATACTTCCCTCGTTTTGTGTTCACAGCTTTAGATAATTAAGTTAGAACTGAATGCTTTTGAATTATGCAGGCATCGCCTATGAGGGAGATGGCTGACAACACCAAGGACGATATGAAAGCGTCCATGGACGAAACTAAAAGGGCAGCCAAAGACATGATGGACAAAGCAAAAGAAGGTGCAGAGAGCATGAAAGACAGGGCAAGTGATATGGCCGGAAAGGCAGCAGATAAGGCAAAACAAGGGAAAGACAAAGCAGCAGAAATGGCAGACGACACTAAAGAGAGAGCACGTGACATGAAGGAAAGGACCAAAGACACTGCAGAGTCCATGGCTGACAAGACGAAAAAATACGCGAATGATGCAAAGGAGACGACGAAGGACAGAGCAGGAGCTATGGCGGAGAAGACGAAAGAAGGGGCAAGCAAAGTGGCGGAGACAGCACAGTCAATAGCTGGCAAAGCTAAGCAGGCAATGTCAGATGCTGTGGGAGCGGCAAAGGAAACGACTCAGAAGATTAAAGAAACTGTGGTGGGTTCAGCAGAGGATAACAAGAAGTCTGTTGATGATTATATTGAAGATCATAAAGGTAAGCCGAAGGAAGATACGAGTGAGAAAACCATGGATGAAGATGTGGTGGAACTGAGAAGGCGTGCAGGGGGAAGTGGTGACAAGAAACATTGAGGCAGGAAATGGAAGTTATTTAAAATAATGTAGTGAAGGTTTTGTCTAATATGTTGAACTTATTTCCTTATGCATATTGTACACACGGAACTCTGTTTTTGAGTTTTGCTTCCCTATGGGAAAGGGTACTTGCACTTGGTGAATTTCCTCTTCTCACCGTCCACGGGCAGTTTGATGGAATTTATGGAATTTAATGTTCATTTTGAGAGTTTATATAAAAATTATATGAGTTTTATAAATATTAAATTTTCAGTTACCGAAAGTAAATAGATTGTGGCACTGCTAAAAGTGATAATACCTCTTTATTTTTTCTATATCATTTTCTATATCATGTTCAATCCTAGCTTCTAAAGTATATCCCTAGGGCCATGTATTTTCACCTACCCGTACCAACACTCGCCAAATAAAATAATTTCGACCCTCCAATCACTTTTGGGCACTTCTTCTTATGATAATTTCCTCCTCTTATTTTAAGAAAGTTGATAAGCAAATCTGCAAAAAATATGACCCACACGACATAAAAGACACCATATCGTACTGTGGATAGTATATCAGTCATATCGCCTGTCTTAGGCCAAGATGTTTTTGAATCTCAATAATTAGAGACGGACCCAATTTGCATATGCATTTTGTGTTTGTTGGTTTGTTGTTTAAGGTATTGCTTTAAGTCATTTTCTTATTTGGTCGTATGAGTGTTACGATCCGGATTTTTAACCTTCGTGATGGTGCCTAATAGTGAAAGTTACGGATTTTTAACCTTCGTGATGGTACCTAATAGTGAAAGTTAGGCAAGCCAACCACTCCAATTTAATTATCCTTTTCAAGTCTTTAAGTCCTTATAAATTCGAAACAATATACATAAAATAGTGGAAATAATAATATCATTAAACAAGCGGAAGACGAATCTGATAATTTAACTTAATACAAACTGCGGAAGTCTAAATATAACTCTACCGAGAATTTAGTGTCACAATTTACGGATTATCTAAGAATAATACAAATAAGGTCTGAGTAGAAATACACAAATCTGTCTTGAGTAGAAATACACAAATCTGTCTTTAGTAGAAATACACAAATCTGTCTCTAAATAAGTAAAAACAGAAAGGGAAATGATAGGAGGAGACGCCAAGGCCTGCGGACGTCTGCAGGACTACCTCGGGTCGCCTGAATGGACTGAAAACAGCACCCTCACTGCGGTCCAAACGCTCCGGTATTAGTATCTGCACACAGTGTAGAGGGTAGTACCAGCACAACCGATCCCATGTGCTGGTAGTGCCTAGCCTAACCTCGGCGAAGTAGTGACGAGGCTAGGACCACACTACCAAATAAACCTGTGCAGTTAAATAATATACAGCGGAAAATAAAAGCAGATAATTACAGCTAAAGTTGGGCGGGGGAAACATGCTGCGGGGAGTAACAGATAACAACAGAATGCCAATAAAGAAATGTAAAGAACACCTTAAATCAATTACCAGCAAAAGATAAGGACATAAGGAACAAGTGTACATGTAATACCGTTGCAGGCGTGCAACCCGATCCCAAATCACATAGTACCGTTGCAGGCGTGCAATCCGCTCCCATTTCATATATCAACACCAATCATAAAAGAATCCCGGCAAGGGAACAATAATATAACAACAACATCCCGGCAAGGGAACAATAATGATAATTCTCATATGAAGCACGAATAAACCACAATGGAGTAATAACAATTACAATACAAGACTCACGGGCATGCTTGACACCGACGTATAGATACTCGTCACCATGCATAGACGTCGTACTCTACAGCTAACACATAGCAAATAAGACACAACTCGCAACCCCTCAAGCTAAGGTTATACCAAACACTTACCTCAAACTTCCACGGCCAACTCAAGCCTCAAACACTGATTTTCCTTCAGAATTCGCCTCCAAATAACTTGTATCTAGTCCAAATTGATTTAACAACATCAATAAATGCTAAAGAATTCATACCCAATGCTGAATTATAGGTTTTCTATCATTTTCCCCAATAAGCCAAAAACCGACCCCGGGCCCGCTTGGTCAAAACACGAGGTTCGGACCAAAATCCGATCACCCATTCACCCACGAGCCCGAATATATAATTTTTTTTGAAATCGGACCTCAAATCGAGGTCCGAATCCCAATTATTCAAAAAGCCCTAACTCTACCCAAATTCCTAATTTCTACCATGAAAACCCTTGATTTTTGATTTAAAAGTGATGAAAAACAGTAAGGAATTGAAAGAACAAAGTTTAGAATTGATTACCTATGACTTGAGGATGATAATCATTGAAGAAAATCGTTCTTAGGGCTGTAAACCTCGAAAATATGGTGAAGAAGAAGGTCTGCCCATTTTTAAAAGAATATTTATATTAGCTGGGCAACAGACCTATGCGTTCGCACTCAAAAGCCTGCGTTCGCATAGGGTAAGGGGGGATGGGCATTGCGATCGCTGGGCAGGGAGTGCGATCGCATAGAGGAAAATAGGTTTCCCTTCCCCCAGGACTAGTTAACTCAGTGCGATAGCGTGAGAAGCCTTGCGTTCGCGTAGAACAAATGGTGACCCCCAGAATTAACTCTATGCGATCGCGGTAGTTTCTATGCGATCGCATAGCACAAAATAGGGGCCCCGGAGACTACACTTTGCGATCGCGAACCTACCTATGCGATCGCATAGCACAAAAACCTGGACACCAGCAAATAGCAAAAATACCAGATTTTCTAAGTCCAAAAACACTCAGACGCCTATCCGAAACTCACCCGAGCCCTCGGGGCTCTAAACCAAACATGCATACAAGTCTAAAAATATTATACGGACTTGCTCGTGCGATCAAATCGCCAAAATAACATCTTAAACAACGAATTTAGCATAGAAATCTAAGAAAAATCTCAAAACTTTCAAAGTATCAAATTTCACAACTACGGGTCTGAATCACATCAAACGACTTCCGTTTCTTACCAAATTTCACAGACGCATCTTAAATGCCACATTGAACCTGTACCGGGCTTCGGAACACAAAATACGGGTCCGATACCATCAACTTCAAATATAATAAAATTTCCAAAAACTCTTTTTTTTAGTAAAATAATTTCTTTCAAAAACTTATTTCTCGGGCTTGGGTCCTCGAAATTTGATTCCGGGCATATACCCAAGTCCCATATTTTCCTACGGACCCTCCGGAACCGTCAAATCACAGGTCTGGGTCCGTTTACCCAAAATGTTGACTGAAGTCATCTAAATTCAATTTTGAAGGCCAAATTAACATTTTCATCACATTTCCACATAAAAGCGTTCCGGATATACGCCCGGACCGCGCACGCAAATCAAGGTGAGGAAAAAGGAGGCTTCTAAGGCCTCGAAACACAGAATTTACTCGTAAATCAATTGATGACCTTTTGGGTCATCACATCCTCCACCTCTAAAACAACCGTTCGTCCTCGAACGGACATAAGAAGGAAGTACCTGAGTCGGAGAAAAGATGGGGATAACGGCTCCGCATATCGGACTCGGACTCCCAGGTTGATGCCTCAGTAGGCTGACCTCTCCACTGAACACGAACAGAAGGGAAACTCTTCGATCTCAACTGATGAACCCGCCGGTCTAGAATAGCTACCGGCTCCTCCTCATATGATAAGTCCTTGTCCAACTGGACAGTGCTGACGTCTAACATGTGGGATGGATCACCGTGATACTTTCGAAGCATGGACACATGAAATACTGGATGCACGGCTGATAAACTCGGCGGTAACGCAAGTCTGTAAACCTCTCCCACTCGATCAAGAATCTCAAACGGGCCAATGAACCTCGAGCTAAGCTTTCCCTTCTTTCTAAATCTCATCACACCTTTCTTAGGCGACACCTAAAGCAACACTCGCTCGCCAACCATGAATGCCACATCACCAACCTTACGGTCGGCATAACTCTTTTGCCTAGACTGACCAGTACGAAGCCTATCCTGAATGATCCTGACCTTGTCCAAGGCATCCTGCACTAGATCCGTACCCAACAACAGATCCTCTCCCGGCTCAAACCATCCAACCGGCGACCGACACCGCCTACCATGTATAGCCTCATAAGGAGCCATTTGAATGCTCGACTGGTAACTGTTATGGTAGGCAAACTCCGCTAAAGGCAAAACTGATCCCACGAGCCTCCAAAGTCAATGACACAAGCTCGGAGCATATCCTCCAAAATCTGAATAGTACGCTTGGACTGCCCGTCCGTCTGAGGATGAAATGTTGTACTCAACTCAACCCGTGTGCCCAACTCACGTTGAACGGCCCTCCAGAAATGCGAGGTAAACTGCGTACCTCGATCAGAAATGATAGACACGGGCACACCATGAAGACGAACAATCTCCCGAATATAGATCTCAGCTAACCTCTCAGAAGAATAGGAGACTGCCACATGAATGAAATGTGCTGACTTGGTCATCCTATCAACAATAACCCACACTGCATCGAACTTCCTCTGAGTCCGTGCGAGTGCAACAACAAAGTCCTTAGTAATACGCTCCCACATCCACTCGGGCAGCTCAATCCTCTAAAACAAACCACCGGGTCTCTGATGCTCGTACTTTACCTGCTGACAATTCAAACACCGAGCCACATACGCAACAATATCCTTCTTCATCCTCCTCCACCAATAATGCTGCCGCAAATCCTGATACATCTTAGCGGCGCCCGGATGAATAGAGTACCGGGAACTATGGGCCTCCTCTAGAATCAACTCCCGAAGTCCATCCACATTAGGCACACAAATACGACCCTGCATCCTCAAAACTCCATCATCTCCTAATGTAACCTGCTTGACACCACCGTGCTGCACCGTGTCTCTAAGGACACACAAATGAGGATCATCGTACTGTCGATCTCGGATACGCTCCAATAAAGAAGAACGAACGACTGTGCAAGCTAATACACGGCTGGGCTCCGAAACATCCAACCTCATGAGCTGATTGGCCAAAGCATGAACATCCAAAGCAAGCGGTCTCTCACCGACTGGAATAAACGCAAGGCTGCCCATACTGGCTGACTACTCAAAGCATCGGCCACCATATTGGCCTTCCCCGAATGATATAAGATGGTGATATCATAGTCTTTTAATAGCTCTAACCACCTCCTCTGCCTCAAATTTAACTCCTTCTGCTTGAACAAGCATTGCAAGCTCTTGTGATCCGTGAACATCTCACATGACACG